CGCTTAAGTCCTACAGTCCTGGAACTTGTGCGAAACCCATAGATGTTGCCTCCAGCCTGAGTTCGCAAGCTGTAAATCTAGAGCTCATCGACGCCTTCGGCAGGTGATTGTGAACCTTGACCCCGTCGACCTCATCCGAGTGCAGGCGCGACTTCGGGGCCCTTTGGGTTAAGGGCTTCGTGCGACAACCCAGAGCTGTTCCAATGAACTCTAGGAAGTTGGAAGGTGGTCTAGGGTCGATTCATGCTATGATTCCAAATGCTTTAATTGAAGTGTGTGAGGATATTGAGCCAAGGCTTACCCCATGCTGGAACCTCTTCAGGCCATCATGTCAGATCGCACCAGTCCTCACAATAGCCAGCTGTTGATACTCATGGTTATTCTGATGGTGCTTGTATCACTGCCTGTCGATGTTTGGAACCTGAACCCTCAGAAGAACTTTGGGTTCAGGAAGTGTTGGTGTCTATGGTTCGGTGGTCCCCCGACTGGAGGCAGAAGAGATCTTCACGGAGGAAAAGTTCCGCCAGTGGTTGAATGCCAAGGACCGACAGCATGCCCCAATCAGACCCGAAACACCATTTCGCAACAACGGTTCCGAAACCTTGTGTCTAAACGTCTGCGACTCTTCGGACAATGCTGTGCCACATCAAGGCTACGTCCCAAAGCCCGAAGCCTTCAGGCCCTGCAGCTGTCGTCGTTATCCTCGTATTGGTCGCCAGGTAGGACCAACTGTATTCGGCTTGTGAAGCAGCAGAAACCCAAGACAACTGGATGACAGTGGGCCCCACTCGTCCGTGAATGTTGCTGCCCAAGCCTCCACACTGGTTGTTGCTGCTGATCATCTCTCTTTATTTGTGCACTGAGCTGTTGTACTTGTATTGACGCGGTCTCATTGGATTCTGAAGCTTTGCGAGACAGATTAGCTGCCTCAGATGAGATCGGACTTGCAAGCCCTGGCAGGTGGACAAGAGGAAGGTGGACGACAAGGGGGATCCGCTTATGCCGCAGACAGTGCAGTTGGCTTGACCGACATAGGAAAGGGTGCACGGGCGTGGCAGCAGTAATTGAAGACGAAGAGCACTAGCCGTCGCAGTAGCTTGAGTAGCGTAGGACCAGTCAGACTAGTCATGGGCTCGCAAGCCCTGAACACATGAACATCGGAAGCGTTTCACGCGCCGGGAACCGCCACAATTTCGGCGCAAAGTCGCCGAGGGTTCCCTCAAGTCGTCCATTTAGGGTGTGGGGTGCCGAGCCCTTAAACCCTAAATTGGCATCCCGCAACTGTACATAGAGCGATCATGCAAACTTCAGGAGGACTGGAAAGTCATCTCTCGAAGAGCAAGTCTGCTTAAACCAGGTCTTCAGCGGGGGATGATCTAAGCCTTCTCTCTGCTGGCTTGCCTGCATGCATAGACTGAACCCTTCGGATTTGGGAAAGACTGAAGGATAATTGTACATCCAGCACGTACCAAGTCATTTGCCGTGGCCTTGACGGCGAACCCGCTGATATTCAAAGGGGGGGCCCCCCACCCCCCAATAGATACTCGGAAAGTGTTATTATTATTATTATTATTGTTATTATTGGTAAAGGGCAGGGGTGATTTCGGGAGGGTTGGGTCCAAGGTGTTTTTATTATTGGGGGGGTGTTTAATAAAAGAGGGAAGGGATTGAGCTTCAGAGCCCAACGGCTTCTTATTCGTGCCTTCTTGCTCGTGCAGTTGCGAGGGAAGGAGAGGACCTCGAATCTCAGGGCAGTGAGTCGGAGGACGAAGTCGCACTGCCAGGCACTGGTTTGGTAAGCGTTAATCTCGTCAACATGCTGTTTGTGCCTCTCACATGTCGTGCTTGTTTGCATCAGGTAAACTTTCTTACCGACGTCGTGGAGTGCACCCTGTGTTGTCCGTTCTACCTTCTCTGCCACGTGTCTTGGATCATTATATTTAGCCGGGTCGCTTGGCTGCAATACACTGACTTGCCTCTGGGGCGCATGCCCCAAGTTTAGACGTTGAGTGATTTTCTTGTGCCCGAAGGTTCATGAAGCCGGCCTGTTCCCGCAGCCGCGCCGGCACACAGGCTAATGAGCTCGTTGCGATGGCATGCAGCAAAATTGTGCCGACTCATGGCACGTGAATGCATTGCAAGCCTTGCTCGAAAGCCTCCTCTCAAAAGAACTCTGGATCAAGGTTGCCATAGTCGGTCGCATGATTTGAAGGCAGCCTAACCCAACAACAAGACCACCATCACCACCAACAACAACGCCAACAACAACACCACCACCAAGCAACAAACAACAAGCAATAAACAGCAAGCAACAATCAGCAAACAATAGCGACAGCAGAGACAACAACAACAGCAACCACCAACAACCAACAAACAACAAATAACAAACAGCAAACCACAAACCACACACCACAAGCAACAAGCAACAAGCAACAACTAACAAACAACAAACAACAAACAACAAACAGCACACAACAAACCACACCAAACAACAACAACTAATAGTTAACCGCCAACAACTAATAACAAACAAACAAGGACGAACTGCAAACAGCATGCCGCAAACAACAAACACCGCCACCTCTACCAGCAACTAAGCAGCCGCTACAGCCAAAGCAACAGCAACAGCAACA